ATGCCACTGGCTGGCCTGAAATCAGGCTTTTATCTCTTTCTTTATTTTATGCATTGCTACAGTGCTCAGCACTTCTAGAGAAGTCATTACCTAATACACTAGAGAAACAGGAGGAAGAATGTCAGGGGAAACAGAGACCAATGCAGGGAGTGGGCTCCCCAGTGAAAGTGCTCTCTGCTTCCTCAGAGGCCAGTGGTCAGAATTTGAGTCACCAAAACCGTACCTGATTTGTGCTTGTTGACAGTGTGAGAATTGACACATGGCATACCTGTGTAGACCCTGGTATGAAAAGCAAATTCTAGAGACCTCTAGACAATCTGGAGAATCTGGAGAGAGGATGGTTTACGTTTAATAGCTGGATCTGGAATATTCAGTGACAGTGAGTGGATAATTCGGGACTCTCACTACCTCTCCTTGGGCTCCTGCTGAGGACAGTGTCAGTGCTCATTAGCACCTTCACCAGAAGCCAGTCCTCACTGGGAGAAGAGGTGAGAGCAGTCGATTTTGCTACTCATTAGCAACTCTGGACAGTCACAGGTGGAGAGATTGACCCTATTGGCAAAATGAGATCCTGCTCCTCTGGGGGCACAGTTATCCATTCTAGTCTTTTCGCCATCAGCGAGTCACTCAGAGTGGACTAACTGCTGGCTTCACAAAGCAATGAGCTAGATAATATTTTAAAGTATTAGTTACTTCATATAATAACTTGGTGAGTAGCTAATGTTGTGACCCGCATGTAATAGTGAGAAACTGTGGGAGGGAAAATATCTCATGTAAAACAGACATGACAACCAGCCAAGTGGTCTTATTTTTCTGTCAAAGACTGCATTTGAAAATAATTTTCAGCTTTGTGTGGAGGGACAGCAGTTTATTCACATGCCCCTCAAGGGCATACACTGATCAGTTTTATCTGATATTTGAATAATATTTTATAATTTGCAAAGCACTTTCACATGTTCTTCAAGTCCCATAATACTTGGTCAGGTTATGGCTTTTCTTAGCTCCATCTTACTGATAAATGAAAATTCTAGAAATCAATCAAGTTACTCAAGTCCACATCAAATCCAGGGCTTTTTTTTTGTTTTTGTTTTTGTTTTCTTTTGGACTCCCAAAGCACACAGGAATTTATGGGGACTTAATAAACAGTGGAAGGAAGACTTTCTCTTAACAGTATTTGTTGAAGTAGAGAATGAAGGTGATATAAGGGAAAGTAAAGCCCTTCTCTGTACTCTACAGGTAAAATTCATATAGAAGAACATCTTCACTAACACTGGTAACACAAGACACAGATGGAGGGTTGACTAGGTTGAATTAGTGAAATGAATTTCTTTTTCTTGTCTGGTCATCTTTGGATGTTGACCTGTTTTTATAAATGTGTTCTTCACACTACAGCATTGGCTACACCCGAAAAACATATGCAAAGTGAAATAAGCCAGACACAAAAGGACAAATATAGTATGATTCCACTTATATGAGATACCTGGATTAAATTTGTAGAGATGGAAATAGAACAGAAGTTAGCAGGAGCTGGGAAGAGGGGGAATGATATTTTAATGGGTATAGAGTTTCAGATGAGGATGATGAAAAAGTGCTGGAAATGGCTTGCACTATACTGTGAATATGCTTAATGCCACTGAATCATACACTTAAAAATGGTTAAAATTGTTAAGTCTCATGTAATGTATAGTTTACAGCAATGTAAAAAAAAAAGAAAATGTTTTGTTTGTTTTTTAAATTTTAAAATGAGGATTGAATAATGCAAGAAGCAGACTTAATTTTCTAGTGTAAAAGTTGTGGTGTCTCTTTAGCACGCACTAACCAGAGAGAAACAGAGAAAGATAAAGGGAAAATGAGAAAGCATCTCCATGGGGATGGCCACGTCACAATCCCTTGTCCTCCATTTCTCCTTTAAGGACTTAGGGAGCACACACATGTATGCCCAGGATGTTCCTTGAGCAGCCAGGTCCAAAATTCAAACCACACAGTCGGCCATGTGAGATCCAGCAATCTCAACCACCAAGCCACTAGGTAGTTCAAGGAAAAAGTTTTTAAAAGTGTGTTTTCTCTATGGCAAAGAGCTTAATTTGGAGATTATACATAAAATATGTCTACTTCCTTTTCTGATTGAATAAAAACTGATTTCAAAATATGTTCTCCAGCATTTTCATCTAAGTACTGTTTTTGTTTTATTTTGCTTTTGTTTTTGTTTTTAAACTCAGAGAAAAGAATTTTTTTTTAGTTCATAGAATTATTAGAAGTTCTTGTCAAAGTAATTATTTGTTCTTTAAGTGGTCTTTTTTATATTAAAAAATTTGCTGTTATAAAGTGAATTGAGGTGGCCTGGACTCCCATATGGCTGATCCTGGTTTGAGTCCTGGACCTGGCAGCTTGCTTTCTTACTTTTCCCCGTCTCTCCGATGACTATAACAAGCTTAAAAATAAAAATAAATAAAATAAATAATTATTTTTAAAAAAAAGAAGAAGAAGAAAGAAAACAAATTGGGCCAGGCCTACAGACTGTGGGGTGGTCAAGGCAGTTGGATCCTACAGGCCAACTGCAACAGTTGGAGTCCCAGGTCCAGTGGTTTGAAAAACACACTGGGTGCATGTGCATGTGTGTGCACGCCCAAATCTCCAAAAGAGGAAGAAATGGAAGAGAAGGGATTGCAGCATAAATAACCCCAACTCATTTTTCCTCTCTCTCTCTCTCTCTCTCTCTCTCTCTCTCTCTCACTCTCTCTCTCACTCTCTCTCTCTGGTGAGCATTTTTTTAAAATATATTTTTAATATTTAAAAAATAAGGGACCACCATGTGTTGTCAAAGCCATCCTGTACAAGAAGAGTGGAGTAGGAGGCATCTCACTCCCTGACCCCAAAATATATTACAAAACTGTGATAATCAAAACATCATGGTATTGGCACAAAGACAGACATGTGGCCCAATGGAACAAAATAGAGACCCCCAGAAATAAATCCCAAAACATATAGCCAACTGATCTTTGACAAAGGGCACCAGTTAATCTAGTGGGAAAAAAGAAAACTTCTTTAGCAAATGGTGCTGGAAAAACTGAGTATCCACATGCAGAAAGATGAATCTGAACCCCTATCTCTCACCATTAACAAAAATCAACTCAAAGTGGATCAAAGATCTAAACCTAAGGCCTCAAACAATAAAACTACTATTGGAAAACATTGGGGAAACTCTTAAAGACATTGGAGTAGGCAAAGACTTCTTAAATAAGATCCCCCAAAGCACAGGTAATAACCCCCAAAATGGACAAGTGGGATTACATCAGACTAAAAAGTTTCTGCACAGCAAAAGACAGTAATTAGTGTGAATTGACAACCCTCAGAATGGGAGAATAGTTTTGTAAACTATGCCTCAGATATGGGTTTCATAATTCAAGCAGTTTATATCCCCCCCAAAAAAATGATCAACCCAATTAAAAGGAAAATGAGCTGAACAAACCACTCTCTAAAGAAGATATACAAATGGCCAAAAATGAAAAATGCTCAACATCTCTTAACATAAGAGAGATGCAAATCAAAACCACAATGATATACCACCTAAACCCAGTCAGAATAGTGAAGATAAAAAAAAAATGATAAGTTCTGTGAAGCTGTGGTAAAAAACCAAACTCTCCTACACTGCTGGTTGGAATGTAAATTAGTACAGCCACTGTGGAAAATAATACAGATGTTCCTCAAAGATCTATACATAAAACTACCATATAATCCAGCAATTCCACTGCTGGGTATCTACCCAAAGAATAGGAAAATGCTCAGTTGGAAAAATGCTTGCACCTCTATGTTTATTAAGGCATTACTCACAATTGCTAAGACATGAAACCAAACAAAATGTCCATGAACAGATGAAAGGACTGAAAAAAGTGTAGCACATATACTCTACAGAATTCTACTCAGCCATAAAAAAACAGCAAGACCCTAGCATTTGATAGAAAGTGGATAAACACAGAAGATTTACTGCTGAGTGAAGCAAGCCAGTCTATAAAAGAGAAACATAGTATGTCTCCACTTAATATAAACTGACTCTTCTACACTCTATGGTGGGAACAGAGATTAGTCTATATAGAAGCATGAAAAATGGTTACAGAAACTGAAGACAGTGTGAGGAGAGGGTGGGAGAAGAGGGAGAGTGAGAGGAAGGGAATCAAGGAGAGAAATAGAGAGGCAAGACATTTATGGGACACAGAAATGGATGCTTATCTGTTGATGATAACATGTATGGTATCTTCAACTGGACTGGTGTGAAGTGTATTCACGTTGTGTAAATTCACCTTACAAGTGGTAATGAAGTATAGTGAATGAACATATAAAATAAATAAAAAATAAATAATAATAAGGGACCAGCATATGGCTTAATGGTTATGTCACTGGACTCCTGTGTAGTCAACCATGGTTTGAGTCTCAGACCTGGTGACTTAAAACTCTTGACAGGTAAAGTACATGTGTGCCCAAAATCCTGAGAGGAGAATGAAGAAGACGGGATTGTAGCACAGCCATTCCCCCTGGATGGGTGATTTCTCGTTTCCTGTCTCTCTGGCGAGCGCACATGCCTTATAACAAAAATATCCCTCTAAACCATTTTAATATATATTTTTTAATTTTAATAAAAAGAGTTGGAATCTTGAATTGGTTAAAAGCAACTGTCTCATTAAGAACTTAGCAAGCTCAGAGACACTTCAATAAAATGCCTTAGAAAATACTGGAGAAACTGTAACTTTTACTTTTGAAAATTAAGCCCGCTTCTTACATTATTCAATTCTCCACTCTGCTAATTTATAGAGCCAATATGTAAACCATAATGTACAATTTTGAACTAAAGTTTATTTTCCTGTGCAGAATTCTGGGAGCGAAGTCTGAGTAACTGTCAGAGTGACCAACGGTGGAGCAGCAGTGAAGTACAATTCTACGTAGATCCACATGGAAAGTTGCTGGTTTGTAGCTGGAGACTTCCCTGAGTACGCTGGACACCTGGGTGCTCATGATCCGGGCTGGCTGAGACTGGGAGCGGATTGTGGTGTCAAGACCCTGTTGGAATACTGCTTCTGTCTGTGCATGTGTTTCTCATGGAATAAATAAATGAAATGTAAAGAAATAAAAGACTATCAGGAAAAATAGTCAAAGATTGGAAGTGGGCAGGTTACTAGATGACCTTTGAGTAATGCGCTGGGCTCTGTCTAGTAGACCTTTTGTCTTTCTAGTGACTGGGCCATTTTACGAACAGTAGGAGTAAAAGTTGAAGAAAACAGTGAGTAATGAGAATGATCTTTTTTTAAGGTTTTTGCCACAGAGTATGTGTGGTTCCTGAAGAGAGACAGAGAGAAACAGTGAGAGGGAAAATGAGAAATCACCCCTCACAGAAGATGGGTACGCCACAATCTCCATTCTCCTACCAGGATTTTGGGCCACACAAGCCTGGCGTGATTCTTAAATCACTAGGTCCAGGACTTGAACCACATTCTGCCATGTGGGAGTCCAGCTCACAGCAATGCAAATGCCTGGTATCCAGCAGAGATATAATAGTTGTCTGGCCAGTAGAAAGATACCAACAAATATGTACTTATTGTATAGTGTATCATCCAATTTTGTATCCGTCAGTACATCCACTTCAACATTCCTAGTTACATACATACCTTTGAATCAATGTTAACATCTTACTGGCTCCCTAATTATATAAAATAGTTAGCATGTGTTCATTTTATATTTGTATGAGAGTATGATTTTTTTAAATCTTTTTGAAAGTCATGCCTTAGACAGACTCACCTAGAAGTTGTACAGACTTCCTAGCCTCCAAGTGGTTTCACCCTTGTCCAAGAAGCTCTGGCACTGACAGCCCGTATCCCTGAGCTGCACTTAAGAAAGGTTGCCACAATTACCAAGTAAAAATACAGAACACCTAGTAACAACTGAATTTCAGATTAAAAAACAGCATATAAAATTTTATTTTATCTTGGAGACAGCAGATGGCATATTGATTCAGGCCCTGGACTCCCACATGGCTGGCTATGTTTCAAATTCCGGACCCAGCAGCTGGAAACTCACGCTGGGGCATATATGTCTGCACCCAAAAATCCCAGGAGGAGAATGGATTGTAGCATGCCATCCACCCTGGGGGGTGACTTCTTACTTTCCCTCTCATTGTCTGTCTCTCTCTGTCTATCTCTGGAAAGAGCATGCATTCCGTCAAACCTTAAAAAATATTTGTAGTATATCTTATACAATATTGTACAAACTTATGTTAAAAAATTACATAAACTTATAAACAAGTATTTGTTGTCTTGATTTTGGAAATGTGCTAATGTTTTGTTTACTTATAAATGTAATTAAACCAGCAAGAATGAAAATTGAGAATTGAATTCAAACAAAAAAACCCCAAATTTCTGGGTTTCAAATGAACAGTATAAACACACTGAAGAAAAAATAAAAAATAATAATTCTATTGACTTTTTTAGTGCTTATTTTCTCTAAATTTCTATGAATTGATTCTTTTTATTTAAATTGTGACTTTCTGGTTTATAATAAATTATCTTTGTGGGATACAATATGGTTTTTCAAAGCATGCATGTAGTGTGTAACAATCAAATCAAGAATATAGACATATTCCTCTTATTTGACATTGAACATTAAATTATGTTTTGTACATTCAATAATAGTTCTACAAGCTTTCTTTTTTGAAAGTGTACACTGGATTGTCAATTCAATAAACCTTTTTTTTGATGTTTGCTTTAGGGTGTGTGCACTCACCAGAGAGGGAAAGTGAGAAAGCACCCCAGGAGCATGACCACACTGCAGTCCCTTCTCTGCCCCTCTCCTCTGAGAATTTTGGCACAGACACACACATGTCCAAGTGTTCTACAAGCCGCTGGGTCCAGTACTTGACCACACAGGCAGCCCTGTGAGATTCAGCTGCCTTAACCACCATGTCACTGACTGGCCCCTCAATTAACTTTTTTTTCTTTTTTAAGAGATTTTTGCTATAGGGCATGTGCACTCACCAGAGAGACAGAGGACAGAAAGTGAGAACTCCCTCTCCAGGGGGGATGGCCACAGCTGCAATCCCTTTTCCTCCATTCTCCTTTCAGGACTTTGGGCACACACACACACATGTCCGGAATGAGTTCTCGGACACTGGGTCTGAGAACACAGTCAACTATGTGGTAGTCTAGTGACGTAACCATTATACCATCTGCTGGTCCCCTCAATTAACTTTTTTTTTAAAGAGGTTTTTGCTATAGGTGCGTATACTTGCTGGAAAGACAGAGAGACAGAAAGCAAGAAATCTCTGGGAACCAGCAGTTAGCGTAATGGCTATGTCGCTGGACTCCCACGTAGTCGACTGCAGTTCGCGTCTCGGACCCAGTGGCTTAGAACTCACGTCGGGCGCGTGTGCGTGCGTGCCCAAGATCCTGAGAGGAGAATGGAGAAGAAGGGATTG